AGGAAGAAAGACAAGAAAGAGAAGGAAGAGAGGGAAGAGAAGGAAGAGAGGAAAGAGAGGGCGAAGGGGGTGGCCAGTCGTGAAAAATTACTTAGCGTTTTCGCAGTACACTGTGTACTCACCGCAACGACAACACGTAGGAGGCTTCGGCGGCACCAGGAAGGCTTGCTGACTACTCAGTCCCTCGCTCGCCAAGCGCTGCAAGTATCTCCTCATCGTCCACGCATAGTTTATCGCCGTTACCGCCACAATTAGACTAACGGCAACAAACACAATCACTGGCACGGCTAACAGAACGATAGCCAATGTCAACGCTGACGGCCAATCGGCCGACCCGCCGGAAGCCTTATCAGAGGGTGTTGAAGTATACGATACAGAACCGTCTGCTTCCTGAGCCATACGTCGATTGGAACTGTCTGCTCCTTGAACGCAATCACCTGCTGCTCGATCGCCTTCCCCACAATCTACGCCGTACACGGAATCACTCGGCCCTCGTTTCCCTCCCATCCGAGATGCTCCCAACGAGGAGGAGGAGGAGGAAGAAGCAGAGAGGGAGGAGAGGGAGGAGGAGGAGGAGGAGGAAGAAGAGGAGAAGACGAAAGGTTGATCTACCCTATCCCTGTGCATCGGGGGGTTGTTATTTGGCTCATCGGCTGATCTGGCAATGATGCTCCCCTCCCCCTCTTTCGCGCGAGATAGTGAAGTCCGTAATTCCTCCTGGGTATTGTACCCCAAGTGAAGGGCTGCCGTGTACGTCTCCTTAATACCGGCTCCCAAAGGGTTGAGGAGATCATCAGTATTGCCATCGCCATCCCTTCGTCCTCGGTAACGAGTGATCGAAAAAATGCTGAGGGCATTTGACTCACCGACGATGCCGTCGCTGGTGCTCTTACTGTTCCCACCTTTACTAACAAGAGTAGATGATGATTGCGCAAGACCCAAGATGGTCCACGCATTGAAGATTAAAATCAGATAAGCCGCCGTAATTGGAATAGGGGTCGGGGAGAAAAGGCGGGGCTTTGCTCTGCAAGGCTTGGTCATTGAGGCCGGAAAAAGAAGATCAGCAGTAGCCCCACATGACGGGCGAATCACGCCACAATGACCCATGACGCCGATGCATAAAGAGACAACTTCTGCAGAGAAGAGGCCCACGTGGGCGACAGAGGAGATATATATATATCGTCACAAGCAGATATATATATATATATATCCCTCAATTAGAAGGCACTCAGACAGTTGGTTCAATTGGGACCATCGCGGACGGATCGTGTGATTACTGATGATGAAGCTAGGACATCGTACGGCTGTAATTCGATGGGGGGGGGGAAAGAGGGAGAAAGAAGGACGGAGGACGAGAGCAACAAGGAAAACGGAAGTGAAAGACACGGCTAATGAAAACGGCAGGCGGAGGAGGAGGAAAAGGAGGAGGAGAAGAAGAAAAAGGAGGAGGAGGAGAAAAAGGGAGGAGGGAGAGGAAGAAGAGGAAGAGTAGGGAAACGAGAAATACTAGAAAATGTGTTGCACGCCACCGCGACACAAGACAAAATTGCCAGAACACAGTCTGAACTGACAGAGGGCCACCGCGTGAGTACTCTATATACAACTCGACAACTACTCAGAAAAAAATCGCCAAATCAGAAAAAATCGCCAAAGGGAATGAATCAGTTGTGGCTGCGGAATTTCAAGAGAAAGACGGATTAATCGCTACCGAGCAAAGATGGGAAAAAGAGGGGGACATAAGCCTGTAATCGAAAGTGGATTGATCGACGCAAAACACAGAGCGATGAGACCTCATATGAATCAGGTAATCGTCAATTCAAAACATTGCGCTCGGACTGGAGAAGAGAGAGAGAGAGAGAGAAAGAAAAAAAAATCCCGTAAACAACAAGGAGAACGACGAGAAATGCACCGCCAAGGCAAAGGCAAATTACGTCGCCCCGTTTTTGTCAGACAGAAATTGGGGGGGGGGGGCGGCGTTGGACACAGGAATGACAGTCTGATGGAAGACCAACCTATGGATCACTAATCTCTATCCCTCCCTGAGATGAATACCTTATTCAAAGTGAACTACTCCTTCCTGTTTGTCTCCCCTCCCTCTCTCCCCTCCTCTCCTCTCCTCTCCCTCTCCTCTCCCTCTCCTTTCCCTCTCCTCTCCCTCTCCTCTACTTCTGAATATATCTTCTCAAAATCCTGCCATCTACCTCTATTTATTTGTTGTCCATCTACCTATCTTTCTACCTATTTAGATTTGTCTACCAATCTCGCTCTTGTTTTATACCCTGTTATAAATCCGTCGGTTTGTTCCGATCACTTTCCGATCCCCGTTTATTCCCAGCTACCCACCTCCATCTTCCCCGTCCCATCTTCTCGCCCTCGATGTTATCTAGCCATCGCTGCTACTACGTCTCTCGCCATCGTGGTTTGTCAATCGATGGGGTACCAACTTCTCGGCCTCCTTGCGGGAGTCATTGCAAAGAACGACGCTCCAGCCAGCCAGTAGCTATCAATCTCCTCCCATTTCCGTACGGCCCATAAGTCACTGATCACTTCCCCGCCGACGAATGAATCATATCCAAGTACCATTCACCATTTTACTCACTCCTACCGGTGATACTCTCTCTCTCTCTCTCTCTCTCTCTCTCTCTCTCTCTCTCTCTCTCTCTCTCTCGCACACTCGCTTGCCAGTAGCCGCTGCGCATTCGAAGATGTGTATATGACGATTTGTAAATAATAATATGTATTTGATATCTGCTGTCTGCCTGTTGACGACTACAGCGAGCAATCCACTTCCCAATTAGAGAGAACAGATAGAATAATTATCACCTGCTCATCTTCACCGAATCCCTTGCAAGTCGCTCACCCGTCCTCCTCGTCAGTGACCGACCACAGGAACCTGACGACGACCGCGATCACCACGCCACTCCCAAATATCCCCCCCCACCACTCTCTTTCATCTAATCAATCGCCTGATCGTTCTAGTCCAAGTACCGAGCAGCACCGACTCTCCTTTCCATGCGGGCACTCCATTCAGGCAATCCATGTGGATGCTCCACGCGCGCAAACCACCATGCACCAGATTGTGTCCCCTATCTGATCTCCCTGTCACACACATTCTGCAAACTCGAACTCTCCTCCCTCCCTCCCTCCCTCCCTCCCTCCCCTCGACTCCCCTCGGAGTGACCAGTCCACAGTTTTTGTCGCACACATTCAAGGAAAGCTGTTAGCGAAGTGTCTGTTCGGCTGAAATGGAGTGATGCCCGGCGATGGCGTTTTTCCCGGTACTGTCCACAAGAAGCAGACCCAGACGTGAGGCTGCCGCTGCTCTTCTTCAGATATGTCCTTCCTTCCCTGGTCCTCCTTACACACCATTTCCTTGGGCGGCTGCTGCTGTCCTTTCGTTCTCACATTGCGGCTGCTGCTCTGCTTTCCTTCTCGCAGTCGGGCTGCTGCTCTCCTCTTTCTTCTCACAGTGGGGCTGCTGCCCTCTTCTTTCCCTCTCACAGCGGGACACAACTTCCGCGTGGGCTGCTGTACTTTCCCCCCTCTCACAGAGCGGGGGCTGATCTCCTTTCCTTCTCACAGTCGCGCTCCTGCTCTCCTTTCCCCTTCTCGCACTGGGGCTGCGGCCGTTCTGTCCTTCTCACAGCGGGACACAACTTTTTCTGGGGACTGCTGTCCTTTCCCCCCTCTCACAGTGCGGCTGCTGCTCTCCTTTCCCCTTCTCGCGCTGGGGCTGCTGCTTCCGTTTCTTTTTTTTTTCTTTTTTTTCTTTTTTTTCTTTTTTTTCTTTTTTTTCTTTTTTTTCTTTTTTTTCTTTTTTGCTGCTCCCCTTTCCTTCTCACAGAGGGGCTGCTGTTGCCAGAGAGATACCCTTTCCTGGTACTCGTGTGACTAACCTACACGTTCCCTGGTACTTACTATACATATGGCCACGGCATATCCTAAACCCATCGTCACTGTAGATGGATAACCCGCCCAAAAAACACAGCACCTCGTATGCGTCTTGCTCGTCTTGATCGATGGACCGCTAGAATGCATGCTCGATCGACTGCCGTGACCCCATCGCCACCGGATCGTCCTCCCAGACAAGAAGAAGGAAAGGAGCGACAGCGAAAAACCGAGCAAGCGAAACTCTGCAAGATTGTCCTCAGTCTTCGCGTATAGGGTGGAGGGAGGCAGCAACCAAAAGAGGGAGTGCGAGGGAGTGCGAGAGCATCAGGGAAAGGAGGCGGGGTTAGGGAAATGGAGCCTCCGCACTTTCGGACCGATTAGTGTATGAAATCGCCGTCTGCTCGCCGTGATCTGCCTCCAACGCGCCTCACTGACGAAGGAGGAGACACTCATGATGCTATGTCTCAAACAGATGCCGATGCGATCAAATCGCCTAAGGTTGAGTAATGGTAAATTGGTAGATTGGCAATCATGAATCGAGTGGGCAATCCTCGATTAATTAACGCGTGTCATCCTTGCGGCGCAGGGGCCATGCTAATCTTCTTTCTCGGTATCGTTCCAAGTTGAAAGGGATGTCCCGAAGGCCAGCTAATCATCTAGTGGGGCAGAAGAAGAGACGAAGGTACAGGCGACGGCGCTACCAAGGAAAGGAAGGAGAGAACTGTGCAAGCTGTCTCTCGACAGAGATTGAGAAGAACAAGAAAAGAGATGTGTGACCAGATCATCCGTGCTCTTCGCGTTTAGGCGTCAGGTAGGTAGATAGCCGGCGTGCCAATCGAATAGAAAGAACACCTCCACCTACCCGACCCGCAGAGAACACCGCACTTCGTTTCTTCCAAACTAACACACGTCACCAGACGTGCAAAACAGGGGACATAAAAAAAAAAAAAAAAAAAAAAGGGGACCTAAACCGACTGATCGGCTCCCGAAAGCAGCGAATCCGTCCGATTAGCATGAGCACATTGATTGGCATGTGGGCTTTAGTGGGTGGGTGAGACCGCAGCAGCACTTCCTTCACCTTCCTCCTCTACCGGCGGATGGATGAACACCACTGCAGGTTCCATCGTTCCATCGTTCGTTCCTATTCCACCCAACCTTCCTATTCGCGCTCCAATTGCTTTGTCAGTTCTTACCCCC